CCCCCCCCCCCAAAAAAATCCCTTTCTTCCCTTCTTCAGAGAAACGGAGACACGGAACGGATCGAAAGAATTGGCTGCATCCGCAATGCAGAAACACTTCGGTTTGACACGGCTTGAACTGCCATGGCTCAATGCAACGGGGTCTGGGATGTGTAGTTTGCTTTGCGGATGCAGCTAATAAAAACGACTCCTCCGGCTGAAGGGAAGAGAAGGGAAGGATAGTTGGCGGGTGAATCCCGTCATAGGCTGCATCCATGCTGCAGAAGTAATCCAGTTTGACACCGCTTTAACTGTCAAGGCTCAATGCTATGAGATTCTGGGAAATTACAGTTTGTTGTGGCACCAGAGCTCTGTGACGGGAAAGGCTAAATGTCTCACAAAACTATAATTCCCTGAATTGCATAGCATTGAGCCATGACAGTTACAGCGGTGTCAAACTGGATTATTTCTGAAGTGCGGATGCAGCCATAATGAGGCGATCAGAGCCGCTATTGCCGGGGAAATATGGGCAGCGTTTTCTCTTCTGACCCATTTCCACTGGGGGGGGGGGGAACCCTACAGATTTCTAGTTCTCCAGCCGTGCTTTAGAAAACTAACGGAGAGGGTGAGAGCTAGTAACGTGTTAAACCAGGTAGACTTCGGTTGCTTCCCTTTTAATGGCACGATGGTTTCAGTTTTCCTCATTTGGCACACCCATCATCCACTAACTTTCATACACACACAACCACGCAAAATAAAAACAAGGATTCTGGAATAAAGATGGAAGGAGGGAGCTTAGGTTACCCAGCTGACTTTAGTGATGTCTTTATGAAAAGAAGCCAGGATCACCTCCAGGGGACCCTTTCACACACAACAATTATAGCGCTATGATTTCGCGTTAATTGCCCCAGCTGCAGCCTAAAGTGTTCGGTTAGTCCTTTATTTTATTTTATTTTTATTTAATTTATTATATTTATGCCTCACTCTCCCGAAATGCCTTCCCAGCTGAATTACAAAATGGACATTAGATAGTTTAGGGAAGATCGAGAGCTCTCGCTTGCTGAGAAGTCTACGTACAGGAGTATGTGTACTGCAGATCCCAGCATCCCAAGTGGAATCGTAGAAACCTGTAGGAACACCACAGTGCTGGCAGCTGGCTAGCTCACTACAATAATATCGAGTTTAAAGTCCCTCCGCCGGCGCTGAGACCGTGCTTTTGCCCACTCAGGCATCTGTGGAGGAAAACTCACCCTGGGCTAGTGCCAGTTTGGTGGCCATCTTTGCGTGGGCTTCCCTTTTCTTCCGCCTCCTCCTTTAGAAAACCCAACAGGACGCTTTGATGTGGTCGGATTCGAACTCAGGGCGGGACGTCAGATGTGGTCCAGAGATTCCTGCTGGAAAGATGTTTAATTATGCCTCCAAAGGTCTCAGTGTCTCTCACTGTGTGTACACAAACACACATATATGGCATAAATACCCTAAAGGCACTGGATCCAGTCTGATCTTAGAAGCTAAGCAGGGTCAACCCTGGTTAGTACTTGGATGAGAGACCACTAACGAATAGCAAGCAGTTGCTGTCGGCTATATTTCAAAGGAAGGCAATGACAAATCACCTGGGACTATTCCTTGCCTAAGAAAGTCCTCTGAAATTCATGGGGTCGCCATCAGGTTACTTGAAGGCACACCACACACACATCTGGGACCCCAAATATTAATAATCAGAGAGCCCTTTGGAGTCTGGTGCTCAAGCTGCTCAGGCAAATTTTGCTTGTGATTATGGGCCTTTGCAGACTGCTAGAAATAGTGCAAATTGAGTCCACTTTTAGGGTTAGGGAATCATGGGAACTGTAGTTTATTGTGGCACCAGAGGTCTCTGACAGAGAAGGCTCAATGTCTCAGAAAAAAACAATTCCCATGATTCCCTAGCAGTAACCCTAACCCTTAAAGTGGACTCAATTTGCACTATTTCTGGCAGTCTGCAAAGGCCCTATGTTCCATTCATTGAGCTTAAAACGTGTTGTTGTTGTTGTTGCTGTGTAAGTAATAGGTCTTTTTCTTCGTCCTCCCTTGCTGAGCGAGCTCTTTCCAAACCAGGTTTTGAAGCCTGCAGTCCACTATCCACCTTTCTGGAAGTAGAAAATGTTGGACGCAATTAGATTTAAACATCTAGATTTCGTCTACAGTAGTAGTAGTAGTTGTTGTTGAGAGCACCTTTGAGATTAAATGAAAGAAAGAAAGTTGGCAGCATGAACTTTTGTAGACTTAAGTCTACCTCTTCAGATGCATTTGGTGGCGTGGAAAGCCAGGGGCAGTTGTTGTTTGTTGTGTGCCTTCGAGTCATTTTTGACTTATGGCGACCCTAAGGGGACTTTCTTGGCGGATGTCTTCAGAGTGGGGTTGCCGTTACCTTCCTCTGAGGCTGAGAAGGTGTGACTTGCCCAAGGTCACCTAGTGGGTTTCATGGCTGAGCCGGGATTTGAACCCTGTTCTCTACAGTCCTAGTCCAACACTCAAACCACTACAGCACACTGGCTTCATTTACAGTAGACTTGGCTAAATTGCTCTCGTGTTGTGGCTTTTTAAATTAATCAATTTATTCATCACGGATCATCTAATTTTCAGTCAAAACCAAGATAACATAATACAAAGAATAAATTCAGAAAGATTACACAAACACACACACACACACAAAAAACACACACACGACAGCCAGTTGAGTGTTGGACTATATATGACTCTAGAAACCAGGATTTGATTTCCAGCTCGACCATAGAAACCCACTGAGTGACCTTGGGCAGCTCACACTCTCTCAGCCTCAGAGGATGGCAATGGCGAACCCCCTCTGAAAGAACTTGCCAAGAAAACCCCAGGATAGTTTCTCCTTTGGGTTGCCATAAGTCGGAAACGACATGATGGCACACAACAACAAATGCACACACAGAGAGATACACATAGTACAACATCTATAGAAGCCCCGCAACCCAGCTCTAAATGTTTTATACATAGATAGATAGATATAGATATAAATATATGTATATACATTTAGAGCTGAGTCGTGGGAATTCTATGCTCCAACATCCATTATCTCCGTGGGTGGCCACGGATGATGGGAGCTGTGATCCAATGCTTTTGAAAGGCGCCGTCCTCTCCTCCTCCCCAGCAAATCTACTCTGCTTCTTCCAGGCTTAAAACCTATCGATTTCAATTGAAGACGCGGCCAGGTAAACTCTGCGGAGGGGGGAGGATATCTTTATTCGAGACTTACTGCCAACCCTGATGACAGCAGGCAGTCTATATAGACAAGGAAGCCCTACGGAACTCTGGGATTTATTTAGGACTAAAATGCAAAGACACACAACTCAGCGCAAAAGTCAGAATCATACAAGCCATTGTATTCCCTATTACCATGTACGGATGTGAGAGCTGGACACTTAAGAAAGAGGATAGAAAGAACATCAATTCATTTGAGAGAATGCGATGCTGGAGAAGAGTGCTGAGGATCCATCCCATGGACAGCCAAAAGGAGAAGCAAATGGGTCCTAGAGCAGATCAAGCCAGAGATATCCCTAGATGACAAGACTTAATACTTTGAACACATCATGAGAAGGCATGAATTGTTGGAAAAGACTAAATAATGTTAGGAAAGGTGGAGGGAAGTAGAAAGAGAGGAAGGCCACATGCTAGATGGATGGATTTTATTAAAGAGGTCAAGAATATGAGTTTGCAGGAGCTGGGCAGAGCAATAGAGGACGGGGGGAGGGGGCTGGAGATGTCTCATCCATAGGGTTGCCATGGGTCTAGAATAGATCGATGCGAAGGCAGTTAACAACAACAAAAATAAAAGTGGATAAGTTATATTGTAGATTTAAGAATAAGCAAAGGAGTCGGATTCCGAAGGGCTCTGCCTTGCGCATCCCTTCGAGTTCTCGGAGTTCCCTATCTTTCGAGTCCCAATCTTTAGTCTGTCACCGCTTGAGTTCTGGGCT